AATTCGTTTCATTGTTTGCGCAGACACTGTAAACAATGAACGTACACGTGAAAGACGTCGGATTACATGTTGATAAAAGCTTTAATTTTTATTGAAAGTGTTGCACTAGGAAATCACGCAAGACGACTGTAGTATTTATTGTTCACAGTTGGCTTTTGTATTATACGGAACACAGCCAGACCTGCATACAAACTTTTGGGGACACACAGTAGGTTCGGATAACCGAACATTTCGGATAATCGACGTTCGGATAATCGACGTTCTACTGTAATTAAATAGTCTATGAGAATTTTGTACAAGCTGCGATGTTCAACTGACCAGGAATCTAAAACAGACGGGCCTTGGCGGTGAAAGCGCTAAATCTTAACCACTAGACCATATGGGACCTTGACGTATGAGGTGATTCCTATTTATCAGGAAAATCAAGTAAGCATACAATCGGATGCTTGTGACATGAACTGAAACTCGTGTATTATTCACGCTCTTGTAATCAAGCCAACAAATACGAGAGGCCAATTTTCATTTTTTAATTCTCGCATTTCAGAATACACTGCGCCACCTACCGGCTGTAGAGAGAGACATATCATACGGAAAGCATCATGGGAAATTGGACATCCTTATTCTGAAGTTGTACCGCACGTATTAATTACATCAATTTGTTTTTCATATAATAATTCAGTTTATTTCCATGGTCTTCCTTTGCGAATCCTCGGAATGCTATTCACATACATCGAAGCTTCGAAACCTTGACATATATCCTTGGATGAAGGGTATTAGGTGGGTAAAATGGTCGCAAGAAAAAACAGTAATTGAAGGGTGGAAACATTTGATTAGACGTGGCGGAAAAAGTAAAGATGAAAACATCGTGGACATTCTGAATATTTCTAGACGGTCGAGACTTTGTTCCCGACATTTTGATGAAGATGATATCGATATTTAGGGAAATGCGACCGGTGATCCAAAATATTTTGTATGGAACAACTGGGGGAAACCTGTAAATCAAACGCCATTGAATAAACTTCAAGCTGCTAGGCAACCACGGCCATCAATTTTACAGGTGCGTGAGAACGTCCCAAATGAATTGGTACCGACTGTTGGCAAAGAGTTGGAGATTGCAATAAAGCAGAAATCTTATATTGGACTTTAGTTGTATTTTTTTTGTTGAGTTTAAACGTACATGTCGTTTGATGCCCATAAATAAAATCAGTTGATGTATAGTTAGTTTGGCTAATGTCGAGTCTGTGTATATGATATGATACGTGGTCCCCAAACACTGAATCCCAGAGCGTTTTCGTTATATTCTAAAGGATTGCGTTTTTGTTTTTGTTTTTGCGATCAACTATTTTTACACAGAAAAATGGTAGCTGTTTGTGATCAGGCAGTATTCGTATTTACAATGGTGCGTCCAAACGTTTGTGACTGTACATTTAAAGTGAACAACTTACTGAATACCAAACTGCATTGCTGCATTGTCAGATGATTTTTTAATTTACAAATGCTTGCCACTTCCTGTCTTTATTATTTTTTATATAGGTTTGCAGCTTAATGTTTGTCCATTTGTTGAGACACCACAACCACCGGATCATGATTACCTCCATACTGCATCTCTTAACATAAGTACACAAACCACGATGACCATGGATGACGTAAATGTTCTAGAAAGTACAGCTAAACCACCATCTTCAAAAAAACCAGGACAAGGTGTAGTCAACTGTGCAACTGAGACTGATGAGAGAGTAAATTTCTATACAGGATTGCACTCAAAGTCTATTCTCCAGGGTGAGACATTCACAATATCAAATTCATTCATATTAAAACACTTTGTAATTTTTCTTTTTTCGAAATTGTTATTGTTGTAATTTTGTATACGTGTTATTGCTTGTGTTGCTATACTACTGGTTTATTATTTTTGTACAGTTTTCATATATAGTTTCCGCGGTGACAATACATAGTTTAAGGTAATGTTTTCAGTACTGCATTGTTTTATTTGTTCATATTTTATATTTTTATTTGTTTTTATTTTTGTTGTAGGTGTTTATGACTCAATTAGTGGGGGTGTTGATCAACTAAAGTACTGGATAGGTGCAGAGAGTACTTTTGATCATCATAACAGTGGGCGACAAAGACCAGAAAGGCAACATCAGTTGCCGCATTATTACCAGTTACTTATGTGCTTAATTAGACTACGTCTAAATTTACCACTTCTCCTCCTAGCGGATTTGTTCGATGTAAGCTGTTCAACTGTAACAAGAATAACAATCACATGGATCTCCTACATGTACCAGACTTTAGTCGCAGCATTACTTGTCTGGCCATCACAAGCAAATATTCAAGAAGGATGCCACTGGATTTTAAAAAGTCGTTCCCCAATACCCGTGTTGTAATTGACTGTTCTGAATTTTTTATTGATCGGCCAAAGAACAAAAATGAACAATATAAAACTTACTCACAATATAAAAGTCACAATACATACAACATTTTGTTTGGGGTTTCACCTTTTCGTGCATTCATATTTGTATGTGACCTGTGGTCAGGAAATGTTTCTGACAAGTATCTTACAGAACAAAGTGGACTGATAGAAAAGCTGGATGATGGAGATGCTATGATGGCTGATAGAGGCTTCCATATAGAAGATTTACTTCACCAGAAAATAGCTTAATGGGAAGGGTAAAAGACTTAATGTTAATGAAATTAGACGAACAAGATAATAGCACGCCTTAGGATTCATGTCGAAAGAGCAATCCAACGTGTTAAATGTTGGAGGATCTTGAAACACCAAATTCCATCTTCTTTACAGAATTGTGAATCAATGATTGTTAAACTGGTACAGCATTCTGCAATTTCAAAGGACCCTTATTTTATTCTAAAAACGTACAAGAATTGAAAATGTCTAAAGTTAAGTTGTACCTAAAAAGGCAGTTAAGCGCAAACACAGTTGCTGATGCTTGAATGCAAATGTATATCTTTACAACACGTTTGTAAGCAAAGGTACCATTACAGAAAGTCTTCTTCACTTGTAATAAATATGTATTTCAGTAATGATTTTCTAGTCCAGTTTTATTATTATTATTTGGATTTCTGATTGTTTTTTTGTTCTTTCATATTGTTTGACTGAATTCAGACTCATCAATTTTTTTTTCTCTGCCATGGTCCAATCTGATTAAAATTGCATGTATTTCCTGTGTGGGAGTCATTGTATTGTCACACATATTGATTCTAGATTGTGGTTGGTTAGCAATCACGTAATTCTGATGATGTGAATATGTTCACACGATTAATGACCATGAATGATGCATCATTAACAAATTAGTTGTTACTGTTACCATACTTTTAAATGCCAATTTTTAGAATAAATTATCATACTAAATAGGTAAACGACACTAATTTTTATAGTTGGTAAATGTGTACTTAATTTTAGCAGCAGGCAAGCTAAATGTTGAAATAAGGGGTTTGACTATTTTTTTTTCATAATTTGAATGCCAAACTTACAACGTAGGATTTCATACCATTGGCTATGTTGTATCATTCTGGAGTATGTGGCAAGCCAGTCAAGGTAGCAGGTACATCGGTAGCACACCAAGGGATAAATACTAAATTCTATAAAATATTTGTTTTGAAAGAAACGTACAGATTTCCATTGTGATTTTTTTGTAACAATTGATTCATGTCAGTAAACAGTATATATTATACATCTGTCATCTTACTTGCATTGAATAAAAACATCACAATAAATATTGAGTGTTAAGTGTTTTTTAATGTATGGTATTGTTCATACCAAAGCATAGTATAAGTGTGTGACAATATAGGTAATCATACAAGTTGGAGTAGGTTTACAACAGGTATCAACTAAAAGTTTGACTAACAATATGGATTGGTAGGTAGGTCCACGCACAAAATAGTTTTGAACTGTTTGCTCCTCCCACATGAAATCTTGATAATAATTTACAAACCTTTTGATCAAAAAAGCAGATTTTCATAGCAATGGCAGTACAGCAGGATTAAAAACAAGTTCTGCTTTACTCTGTAACAGTTCCCATCTGTCCACATCAAAGTATACAGATATTTTTGTATTCCTTTACGTGTGTACACAACTAAATCACAAGATGCTATACCTGTCACACCTAACTGGAATTGTATCTGGCTGTACCATGGGGAAGTCTATTTTAAATGAAAAGTTTCATCAACTAGTTCTAAATGATATTTGGGATCTATGCAAGGTATTTTCTCAACAGCAATATTTTTGTGCTTAAAAGAACATTTAATTTCAATTAGTTTTGGTTTGTGGCATGAACAATTAACAGTGCCATCAGGTGATGCTCCCATAAATGGTTTATTTTTCAATACTATTAGTCCACACTCATTAACTTCAAATTTGTTGTGTTCTTAACTCACTAAT